TAAATAATTACATACGACAGAATATAGTTTAAACATAAAATTTACTACTTTATACGTGGTCGATAGTTTGCAAACTGCATTGCATAAAGTAAAAATTGGAAGTATATAGTATAAACCAGGTCTGTTTCTAATTTTCTTACATAATATCGATCGGTGAACAAAGCGTAGCCGCTTGTCCTCCCACACACCGAATAACGTACACCGCGAGAAGTGTTGGACGGCACTTACGGGACTAGACAACGTTCACACGGATACGATCGGTTATATCGGTCTGGATACGCGTTTAGTTCGTACGAGAGGGTTCTATATCCACGAAGCCGGGCGAGGCCATTCACTCATTCGGTAGGCCGAGCTAGATACTGCTCTAGGATCCAAATTATTGGAACATTAGCTTGATTGAAGCGAGCTGGGCTCGGCCGACGGCCACCGATGCGATCGTACGATCGATTCGCACTGTGCATGTGTGTTATCCAACAGCGTAGACACATACGAACGAAAGTTACGGCAGTAACGATTGCGGCAAATTAACGTAGCTAGAATTCACATTAAAATCAAATTTGCTAGCGAGTTACTGTACATGAAATCGTCGCCTCGTAGGAAGAAGGGAAAACAATTCCTGCTTTATGACATTTAAAACACTTATACTAAGTCAATACGACGGACGACAAACAATTAAAATGTTTTATTCAGCCAATATCTACGGTTTAATCAAATACGATAGAAATATTTTAATCGGCAAAATATTGTTCATTAAATATATGTATAAATTGCAATGACGAACCATTAGTTGAATTAAATACTCTTTCCCAATATTATAAAGTTCTTATATTAATTATAATATATTAAGTATCAACGGTCTAGTAATAAATAAATATTTTTAAACACAGTGTTTATTCGGTTGTATATGTACAGTTTGTAATCATCGTTACATATGGTACATTCGACTTCGAGTTGAATGAGTAACTGTTCCTTTACTATGGGAAATAATACCGTGGGAAATTCAAAGCAGATCAGTACGTTAAGTCCGCTGTGTATCCTAAATCATTACCGAGATCCATTCGCCGATCCATTCTCGATGGTTGAAGCTGAATTCAGTTTACTTGCTTGTTTAATCCTCGAGACAAGTCCTCGGAGTTTAAATAACGTAACAGACATAGTTGAGAAAATCGAAGACGTTTCATTCTTCTCATCCATCTGTTTTACTATGTATCCCGACACACGCATCTCGTCTGTCGTCGTCGACGAAATGAATCGTAGCGAAACACGCGCTTCTGCGAACCAAATCACAAGGTACGGTCGCAAGTCACAATCTTGAAGGAGCGACTCGACGAAACACGGTGAGCCTGTTTGTTGTCAACCTCTGGCGTTGGGACGTGCTGCAAAACCTTTGGCATTTTTATAATGTTTAATTTTCTTCTAACAATTCTTTGTGGAAGCGTAATAGATGAACTAAATGAGTTAGATAAATTGTACAGTTTACTTATTACGATAGCGCGTGAAAAATGGGTACTTCAGAAATGTTAGCTTAATAAAACTTAAAATTAAATTGTTTTAACTCCTCGATGAGTAGAATAACTAATTTGCGAGTGCAAAGGCTGTAATTTTAAGATTAACAAGCACGGTATATTGAGCACAGAATGATTCCTAAGGTACCATTTTTTTTCACGATTCTGTATAACAATGTCGGTTTACCAACTGAATTTGTAGCCGCCACCTTGAAGAGACATTACTTCACCGGTGGTAAATTGAAATCGACGGAAATATACTTGACGCTGTTAATCGATATTTTTCATTGCTCTTCGTACGTCCAGTATTCTTGAGCACCGATGTATATGTCGTACATAATTAACAGTCGTTAACTCAAAACGCGTTCCACTTAACGATTCACGATAAAAATCAGCGTTTCGGGAAAGCGCGTGCAAATTTCATTTGTAAATTTCATCGCTCTCAGGCTTTCTGCCTCTATATACAGTCTGAAAGTACTGTCTTCCCCATTTTATTTAGCTCGAAGGACTTTCTTTGCTTTTTTAGTATGCATATTGGGTATATACATTTTCGCGTAATTTTATAACTGTAACGCGTTATCCGCAACCCGTTGGTTGCTTTAATTTTAAATAGTAATTCATGAAGTTACTGCATACAAATCTTTATTGAAGGATACGAAATAGGAAATGAAAAAATGTAGGAATATCATTTTACGATGGCGTTTGCATACGTTTGACATGAAACGTAATACTGTCTTATTTTGGCAAAATGTACGTACGTATCACCCACAAAATCATCAATCTTTTATTCAACCATTCGGCTGAAGAAAATCATTATTATAACACGTATAATTATTAAAGTGGCTGCTATGAATGATGTTTCTTCGTGAGGCCACTATGGATTAGAATTTATCTTCATTAGAAACTATGCTTGCAATACTGATCGATTCATAATCATTCATATTAATTTGTAAAAGTACAGTATATAGGATAATTTCGAAGTAACTGTTATTGACCTAAGGAAACGCTAAAAGACTCGATTAAAACGAGCATTAAAGTATACATCTCTGCCATTCTTATCCGTTAGATTATTTCCCGTTTTACGAGATCAATTTTAATCTAATCCATCTTAAAACATCGAAATCGAGTAAGGATAACGATCCGTCTCGACTAATATTTTCTTCTTAATTAATGCTTCGTTCTCTATTAAATGTTTTAGGCATACAAATACACTTGTACAAATACATGCAAAAGAATATGGATAAATTTGCACTATAACACATTAATTCAAGCAATACGTTAAACAAATACTAAACGTATTAATTTCTCAACTTTGGTACCGTGATTGCTGCTTAACACAGATATAATAATCTTTTCGCGAAACAAATAAATTATTATGCTAATCGTTCCCCGCGTGATGTTCACTTAAGGATGCATTGACTATACAGTCAATTCCAAAAGTTTATGTACCTTAGAAAAACGCATTTCCTATAATTAAAAAGAAATCAGACGTCGGAAGAATAATGCTAATAATAAATAGCTACGTGCTAAAAAGTATAGAAGGAAATATCCAATTAAGTATTGACTCTGACGAAAATTTTTTTTTTCAAAATTGCAAGAAATGCTTCAAATAAAAGTTGTTTTTCTTCTAACTTCGCTATTTAATGAATTACGTATGATTATTTGGCATTTTATTGATGTTGGCAAAATCCGACCATCCCAGCGTCGAAACGGCGAACTTTTGGCAAAAAATTTCATTTTTCCTTAATTACTTCTAAACCGTTGAATCTACGGGAAAATTGTATAGGACCTTTCTTGTAGAGGACGACGAGATCTACAATTTCTGTATAGAAGTTTTTCGGTAGCATTAATATTTAAAGAG